GGAAGGAAAAACAGTCCGTGGAGCCAGTAAGTTTTTGTCAGATGATTGTATCCATCTGGAACCATTTCCTCCCCAAGAGCCGGTTTTATTTTCAAGTCCTCATGCAAATAGGACTGGAATGCAGACACAGCCTGTACTGCAGACAAAACAATTTATTTGAGCATTTTAGAAGGAAATAACAACTAGTACTTAAGACTTTAAGTTGTATGGGTAGGAAATCGGGAAAGACCAGTGACTCAATAGCATGAGAATACATGGGTTCATTCTCCAAGCTGCAAGAAAGTAAAAAGCTGCTAAAAAGAGCAGTTTCTCAAATACCCGTAGAAATCATCAGTCAGTACAAAGTGACTGGAAAAAATAAAAGAAAGAGAAGCTATTCTTCCATACCAGTCCCTAAGAATAACTGTTTCTCAAGTTTCTCTGTTTCACGTATTTCCCTGAGGAAACTTTTCATATTCCCTCAGCTAAATACACATTTTGACTGGCAGTCATTTCTTTAACATCAGTGCAAGAGGTCACAGGAGAAAGGGTGCAGCTTTCCATATCATCACCATTAAAGCATGGGAAATCAGTTCCAGTTCATATTGGTCTCTGAAACCTAGATTTGTTCCAGACTGAAATTTGTTCCGCTGTTTGAAAACAAGGTGTGGGCCTTTTTGCAAATGTTACCCATTGCAGTGGAGTAGGTGGGTCAAACTATTGGCTAGGCCAGTGGCACTAGGCATGAAAAAACTGTGTTCACACCTCTGCTCTCCTTAGAGGAGAACATCCCACAACAACAATTTCAAGCACATTTTCCCACCCTCGGCCCTTGCTCTAATCCTGAAATTATCTCTTTCTTTTCAAATGTTCTTAACAGAATTTTGTCAAACCCTGCAGTTGCTACAAAAAAAAAAAGGTTGAGTGATGCTGGAAAAGCATATTTCCGCAAAACCAAAGTTCTCTGAAAATACAGCAACTATTTCTAATCAGCGTGTAGATGAATTGGGCTCTATTCCGGTGCCACCACAGACCTGCCAATGCACACACTATTTCTTCTTTCTCATGCCCTCTTCTCCCAGCATTCTCACAGGATTGGGCAAGAAGCTAATTTTATACAAGTTTTGGCATGAAAATGATTTTCCACTACAAAGGGCTGATTCATCAAAGTCAAAAAAAGTTCACAAGAATAGTGTAGGTTTCAGTGAATCTCCTGGTAAAAGAATTGGTGAACGCTTTTTAAATTTAGGACCATCTTTTATATTCCTGTTAGCTAATTAATGCAGTTGTTGATTTGTTTGTTTGTTTGTTTGTTTTTTAATTAAAAAGAAGTCTGAAAACAACATGTCTAAAAATGGTCATGGTTTAAAAGGTTGGTTGATCTAGGACAAAAGTTACTTATCCTTTTTGGCTTTGTTTGTCACAATTCAGAATTGTGTCTTAATCTTAATTCTTTCTGGGTAATGTTATTTAATGCTTTCAGGAGGTAGAAAACCATTTACCATCCAGCTATTGTGGTATTTTATTCTCCCTATTGCACTTTTCCCTTTGCGTGACAGAATTCAGTGAGCAATTCAATATACTGGATGCCAGATGGTTATAGTTTTGCAATCAACTCTCATTAATATCCTCTCCAAATTACCCAGGCGCTACTCCTGCTCTCAGGCCTGCTCCGTTTTCTGCATAGCTTTATTCAGCCTTAACATTATTTAATTGATCATTTAGACCTCTCTGAGATTTTTCTTTGTGCACAGTCTTGTAGTTGAGGTCTGGTTCGAGATCATTGCCCCTGAACCTGCCACTGCCATTGCGCTGGACATGTCTCCTTAGCTGTTGTTATCCAAGTTCCCCTTGTTATAAAATGCAATGGGAAGGCAGCCGGAGTCTAGTCTAATCCAACTGTTCTTGAGCATTTTACCTTCCACTGTAAAAAATCAACCAGCTTTTGCCTTCCCAAGAAAGAGACATCAAAATGGGCTCTGTTGAGAAGCCGCACTCCTGATATCTTCTGCTTTCCTTTGGTCCCTGTATGGTTGGTCATTAACACTAATGCCAGGCACCAAATGCAAACTGGGATGAGACACCCGCAGTGGGGTCCCAAGAGAAGTGTCAGGCCCTCCATGCAAAGTGTGGTGGCTCTGTCAAGCACCCTTGATTTAAGTAGCATTTTCACTTGGGCCTTTTTAACCTGCAACTCATTCCTTTTGTTTTCCCAGATTTTAGGCTGGTGTGTGATAGTTACCACAGCTCTTCTCTCCCTGCTAACCACTTGCTGTGCCAAATGCCAGTCGAAAGTCAGCCACCTCCAGCTGAAGTTCTGGAGGGTGTACGTGGAGAAGGAGAAGGAGCAACTGGAGCAGATTTTCCAGCTGTATGCCACCAAGCTGAGCGAGCGAAACCTGAAGTGCTTTTTTGAGAACAAGGAACCAGAAGCAATTCCTCTGCCAGCTTTTCAGGCATGGGAAGATGCTTCTCAGCTCTACTCTTTCAGCAGTAGCAAACAGCATTATAGCACGATTCACAAGCTAGTTGAAGAAGGCCACAAAGAAATCAATGAGGAGAGAGAAACAATGCTGGACTTGTAGACACAAGGAAAATACCATAGATTAAATATATTTTCAGCTTTGTTTGTGTCTTGCTAATACAGCATACTTCCAGCTGGTTTCATCTCTCTATTTTTTTCACAATGGCCTCTTTCTTCTTCATCACATTCACCCCCAGTTACAAACTTGCTCCAAAAGGATGGAATGAAATTATTTCCCTACATCACTGAAAAGGCTGCAGTCCTCCATGGCACCTAGGGTTCATGCTCTACTAATGTCGCTGGCTCCGGATCAAGAGCTGACAGCAAAAAGATGAATAATGACTTCTACAAGAGGGTTTTAACAATATCCTATGTAAAAACCCCTATAGTATGCTCATCCTATGTAAATCAAGAGACTATCATAGAGTAACACCATTTAAAAGGCGT